ATTTTAGAATTCTGTTTAGCTTTCCATAACCAAACAACTTGAATATTTCTTCTAAAATAAGCTACAGACAAAGGAACTGGGCAGAACCATGTAAGCCTTACAAGGGAAAATTCTCTGTTGATCCCTTTATCCCTGAAGGGGACATAGTTTCATCATAATCAGACCAAGAGGGTTTACATGACTTTGGAATAAAATACATGAGTACCACCTGTTTATTGCTTCTCTGCTCCCTAACTTAGTAAAAATACCACACTATAATGAGCGTTAAAATCTCTTGGCACTTCAAACAAATATGTTTTCTAATAAAACATAAGAAAGCACAGCACAATAACAGGTCAAAGTGGGATCTGAAATTCCTCTGGAATGTAATGCATTCCTTAATGTTTCCTTGTTCTTGTTGAAGTTTGTTATGATGATTTTATTTTTGCTACAAGGCCATACGTAAACGGCCTAATTCGAGGGGGCAGCTGGTGTTTAATTGAACCTAATGTACTCTTTTATAAAGTATCTGACCTGTGAACAAATGCTGTGAAAAAAGGCAAGAGTAAAGGATTGTGTCAAGCTTACCTCAGTATCTAACATGTAAGATCAAATATTTAAGCTAATTATGAGTTAAATTACAAAAGACAAACACTTTAAAACCGTAAATGTGTTGCACAACTCAAGGATAAGGGAGAGATTTGTTAGAGATACTATTATGTTTACTACTTTCAGTTTCATTTTATTGCCTACAATTAGCGATGCCAAAACCAGTTTATCAAGGATATTTTATTACCTTTTTACTTAGTTGTGACTGTCCACTTATAGTAAATAACTAACAATAAACTCAAATTGCACAAGCAGATTTAATAGATCAGAATGCACAAGGTCTTTCACAGCATGCACACATCCTGAAACCGCTAAACCACACACAGCCAACTTTTCTGATAGCGCTCTGTCTCCACAACTCTGGTGAGGAGAAAGAAAACAGAATATGGTCTTAATTTATCTGGAATTCCTTCTGTTTCCCAGCTTGGGGATTGTGCCAGAGGACTTGGGTATGGCACAAAACCCTAGCCTTAGGAAATTTGGGAGGGGAGCAGAGGGCAGTCATGAGTCAAAAAAAAATATGGCTTTAGTGGATACTTTAGTAGGACAGTTAATTTATCCAATCCAGAGAGTAAGGATGTGAATTGCTTGAGATGTACATTATCTAAAATAAACTAAAAAAAATGAAGTCATAATTCTTTTCAGGAGGTAATGTGTTTGCTTCATGTCAATGTTCTGCATATGCATTTCTATGCTTGCGCATAGCTTTTGGTCTACTTCTTTCATCTTTACGTAATTATTTCCACAAGTTAGATAGTGCCTTCAGACATTGTTATTTTAGCAAATCCAAATAGCTCAGTAGATTTCCTCCTTGTTATTCTGTTTTAGGCCATCTGGCAACCTGACATCTAAGAGTAATAAACACCCAAAAGAGGCCATGCAACTTAAGGGAAATTTGAGTTGCAGGCTCAACAAGTGAAGTTTGCTTCGATAACACCGATTTGATCGTGATAAGATGCCACCCGCAACTAAAACTAATTTGTTCTGTGCTCCAGACGTCAGTCACATTGCTACTGCTAGCACCTACATCACTGCCATTCGTTAAAAAGATATTCCTGTTTAATTGTTACAACATATTTGGCTCACAATGTTGTTGTTCTTTTTCCCTGCAAGGTTGAATCCATCTAGGGTTGTGTGTATGGCCTCATCCACCCTTTGCATTCCTCTTTCAATCAACATAACTCTGGCTGCCTGGGATGTGTTTTCAGGATCAGCCCCCATGCAATATTAGCCCTTGATCAGAGTGTCAAAGCATAAGACAAACAGTGGTAATGTTTTAATTAGTATGTGTTGTTTGTGCACGCCACTTTACTTTATTAAGACCTTCTTAACAATGTTATTGGGATATTTAAAACATGCTTTATTATTAAATGTAAATAAAAATGCACCCTGTTTTTTTTTTAATGTGACAGTGCACATAAAGGTGAATAAAGTTTTTTTTTAAACTGTGTAACTAAGTAACATTTTGATAAGACACCCAGCTCAGAATAGCCACATACAACACAGAAAGATATGAGATTATATAGAGATTATATAGTGGACACCGATGAAAAAAATACACTATCAGAAGGGGAAAAATATCATAAATGTCACAGTCTTGTTTCTGTTATGCTTTCTTTTGAGTATTCAGTTTTACTTTGCTCAATGTTTTCTAGTTTTATTGGTTTAATTCTCATTTTGCTGTTTTTCTGGTTATATTTTAGGTTTTCAGGTTTTTACTTGTTGGAGGATAAAAAGTGCCAAAATTAAATAAATAAATACAGCATTAAATAAATAATTAAATGTGTCAATAATTAATTAAATGTGGAATTAAATAAATAAATGTGTCATTAATTAATTAAAACCACATCACTAATATAAAGTGCCACAATTAAATAAATAAATACAGCAATAAACAATTAATTAAATGTGTAATTCATTAAATAAATAAGGAATTAAATATATAAATGTGTCATTAATTTAATAAAATATGTCTTCATTTTCTTTAAAAAATATATATAATTATTTCAGTGTGCATTTAATTATTTCATGGTCCTGTGTTGCAGTGCATCGAAACCATTAAAAGAATCTGTCAAACTCACCCATCAAAGTTAGGGGGCAGTTATCTAACATCTGATTTGTCACCCTGCACATTAAGGCGAAGCTAATCGATTACAGAGACTCGATTCGTCGTTAACCCCCCGTATTTATTTATTTCATTTCGGTACTTTTTATCCTCCATAGTTGCCCTCCGTTGCCCTCTAGTGCTCTCCTTTTTTCCTTGCTCCTTTCCAGTCTGCTATGTTCACACCTGCTCCCAATCTGCTCGTTAGTCCTCTCTTTGTTCAGTCTCTACTCCGTGTCACTGAGTCTTCCTCGTCGTGATTGTTTTTCCCCCTGATGTCTCCACGGTTTCTGGTTTGTTTGACTTTTTTCATGCTTGATTTTGGGATTTTTGGATTCCTGCCTCAGTTGTCTGTTAACATTTCACTAAATCAACAAGAAACTCACCACTGCCTATCTGCCTCTGCATTTGGGTCCTCAAACCACAATCAAACCCTGACAGTAAAGAGAAACTGGTAGATCAATTATTAGATGTACAATATTTTTTGCATAAAATATCTAATAGTAAATGTTGCATACTCTATAGATAAGGAGCAACTTGTGCCAGAGCCGTCTGTGAAATAGGCTGGTGGCGTAATTGATTGGCAGGAGGGTGTGGATTATTTTCCTCAGTCATTTATCTTTATGAAGTACTGCTTTCATGCTTTTTTATATTTGTTTTGGTTTTGTTCTTTTTTTAAATTTATCATTGGATATGATTATCAGTTTTCTATTGTAACATTTAATACAGAGATTCTTAAATAACAATATTATAAGAATATTAAAAATGGGAGTAAAATATGCAATTATAGTTTCCAGATTGGTAAACATATTTACCATTGGGTGGTATAACAGCATTCTATTAGTTATATAATGCATATAGTATGTTGCATTTCATAAGTTTTCAAAGGAAATGTAAATCAATTGAGATTTTAGGTGAAATTCCTTCAGAAAGTTTTTGTATTTGAAAGGCTACAAGAAATGATCTTGGGTGTTGGTTGAATACCAATTCCTGATGGTAAACCATGTGCATCACGACACATTCTAAAACTGCTTAAAGAAACAACTTTCTTAAATGGACTATTTGAGAGATGTAGCAATAGACATACAGTAAAGACCTGTTGTGCTCCATCCTTCCACAATACTGCAGGTTTATTGTTGTCAAAAATTTAATTTCAAGAAATTATTCAGAAGGTTTCATCTAGCGTAGTTATATCTACCGTTTATCAAAAAATCTCTGACACTTCGAAATACACTTATTAAACCCCTATTCTAAATAAGGTTTATTAAAATATGCCCTCTAGCAACTTTTTAAATTAAAATCACTTAAGAACAGCTTAAACAATCCTGGACAGCAATAATACAAGTGCTTTCTCCACACAATTCCACACAAAAAGCCACTTCAATTTGAATTTCTTGTACTTGTTGAGCCCCTTGCTGTCATGCCGTGTGGCAAATGTATTTCAGCCTCCTTACATGTGGTACACCAATCCTTCTGGATTTCCTGATAATTGAATCCAACTTTTGCTCCACATGCCTAAGGCTTTTAGTGCCAGAGAATGTAAGCAAACTGAGAGAGTTACTGAGCCACTTACAGGCTCCATTGTTGGCAGTATGTTCTAACAATCCAGGTGTTTGAGGAGTTGTGTGTCAAACACAGCTAATGCAAACAATAAATCCTTTGACTGGTTGTTTCAGGTGTGCAAGAAAACATATCTGATTTGCAAATGTTTGTTGTTATGAAGAACTTATTCAAAGATTTCAGCAAACTTAAAACTGTGATAGTAATATAAGATAAGATTTAGTGTGAATTTGGACAAAAATCATTTTTACCATCAGTTTTTTTTTTTTTTTTTGGTAAACTAAAGAGTTTTTGTTATTTTTGCAGGCTTAGCAGTTTTATCTTCAAATTGTCCTTATTTCTGACATTTTAATATATTTTAATTATTTTTATATGGTATAATTGGCAAGCTTTTAAGCACCTTGGTAATGTTCTGTTGTTGTTGCTGCAGAAAAAAGGATCTTATACAATATATCCTAAATCATATTGACAGAAGTTTGTTGACATTTTGTTTTTACTTTTGACTCCCCCCCTCACCCAGAAGCTCAAATCATGCCTAATTATAGGTTATAATTTAACATATGATTAATCCTGTGAATTATTTGATTGGATGGATTCTACATTCCAATGGATTACAAAAAAAGGAAATAAACTTCATCTCTGTTACGCAGCCTCTGAGACATGTGTGTGTTACATGTGCTCCTCAGTGCTCTGTGGTGGAGGGGGTTGTGGGGTTCAGAGAGGTGTGGGCGTGTACCTTTCCCTCACAGCCCCACACCTTTGATTTTGCCTATTAGAAGTGACACAGAGGATCTTTGCTCCACTCTTTGCTAGTATAATTTCACTGATTTAAGCAAGTTTATACCTAATATTAAGAGGGGGAGAATACTTACCTTTTTTAGGTTTGGATTAATTATATTTTTTTAAGAAGGGAAAGCAAACACAGCAAGCTGAGATCTGCTCGGACCATGTGAGCTCTTCAAGGATTTACAAAGTTAATGGATGCAAAGTTGATCTTACTATGAGTCCTTTTTGGAGAGTTTGACGCTGCTACAATTCTGTGTTTTCACACAAGTATGCTTTTCAGAATACTGACTTTGACTCTGATTCTTCTGCAAGGTAAGTTTTGAAACTTGCGTTTGTGTAGACTGTTCTTGCTTTTGGATGTTGACTTATTTTCCCCCACATCTTCTTATTAAAGGCGCTTTGGTGGCCTCTGTTAAATCCGAGAGCAGCCCCAGGATTGTTCCCATTAAAGCATCCGAAGCTTCCCAGCCATCTGAGACCTCGAGGTCCAGACAAAAGCGCTGCACCTGTTATTCCTACACGGACAAAGAGTGCGTCTATTACTGCCACCTGGATATCATCTGGATAAATACTCCTGAGTAAGACAGGCAACTTTTTCATCTGTTCACGACGCATGTGTTTGCGTTCAAATGCTTGAGTGTAAAAGCCCCTTTTTATGATGCCACAAGTTTGTAAGGTTTTCTGCTTTGCATATTCAGAAACTGGATGTTTTTTTTTATTTTTTCATTTTACTTTGCAAAATTACCAACGCCACTCCCAATTGGAATGATGGTGTCTATAATTTTTTTTTTTTAAGCCCTAACACATATTTCTAAGATATAAATGACAGAACTTTGACTAGGCCCTTCTATCAAAATAATGTGCCCAGACAGCTGCAGTTAATCTGCAGCACTGCTGCCCATGTTCTTAACAAAACCTAGAAAGTAGAGCACATTTCCCCAGTTTTGAATTCCTTACATTGACTTGCTGTTTCTCAGAGAATAGACTTTAATATACTTTGTAAATAACCCATTAATTTCCCCCTAAACAGATGGGACACTTCATTTTATAAGGCTGTTTTAAAAACATCTTTTAATTCCTTGTTTTTTGGCACATACATTTATTTTTAGTCTTTGGAACTTGTTTTTAAGTGCTTTCTTTAATCAATTTGTGCTTCTGCCGTACATGTTTCCCCCACGTTTTCTTTAGCATGTAAAGAACTTTGCCTTAAACTAAACTACTGCTCAGCACCTCTGCTAGTGTCTCATATCTTTTGCAGCCTCTGACCTATTTTATTCTTTGTCTTGTGTTTTGCTCTGTTTGTCTTCCTATACACTCTTACCACCTTTTCTTTTTCTGTTAAGAAAAGACATCTGCACAAAATGATGTCACCACCATTTTTCACATTTAGATAGTTATTTCAGGGTGCAGTGTTAGTTTTCTGTTAAACATAAAAAAAGTTTCGTTTCATGGGACCAGACCACATTCTTCTTAATGGTTGCTGTGTCCCCTGAAAGGTTTCCTAAATCTTTTAGCTAATGACCCACAAAATGTTTAGGACCCAAATTAGAAATGTATAAATCAACCATGTGTGTAATGATATTACTAAAGGCATCAACAACCAAAACAGTTAGTTATAGCTGTTTTTAAGTGATAATTTTATACCTTTTTAACCACTGTTAAATCTCTGGAGTGGATTTCAAGACCCCATACTGGTTGATCAAGGACACCAGGTGGGGTCACAACCTCAACTTTGAAAATCAACACCCCACCGAGCTTATGCCAAACTGCAATAAGACAGTTTTACACAGTTCTTTTAACATGGCTTTCCATCTGCCATTATTCCATAAAGTTCAAAGGTGAGGATTGAGAATTTGTCCTGTTAACAGATTCTACAAATTGGTAGTAATGGTCTCAGTATTCCCTCAGCTTGCTCATTAGGGTAAATGGCTTTTTTCCAGATGATGCAATAAAAGGTCCTGCATTTAATGTCACTGATAAAACTGATTGGCTTGTTGTTTTTTTCACCCTTTATATGTCTCTAAATGTTTCTCCCTAAAATCGATGTGATGACTTTATGAGGCTGTTTTTTATTATTATAATTTTTTTAAGTTAAGCGATCAGACTGAATTTATCCATTAGGTGACTTTTGAAACCAGTTGTTTGCCATAGATCTTATGTGGGAGTATAAGATAAAAAACAAGTTTAAGACATACATACATCTTAATTGTCTGATATATGTGAAAGGTAAATGAAAATGGAAACGAATATGTCGTTACATAACGTCATATAAGATATATTGAAGCCTGTTGTATCATAAAAAAAATTATTAATATCCATCAGTATGAATACTTTTGTGAAGGGAATAGAAATTCTGTTAAAGCATGATATGTGCAGTATAGATTATAAAAGCATCTCTAGACAAGATTCTGCTACACATCAACAAAAGGAGGGAAGGAATTGATCTGCTGATTGGCTTGTATTGTGTTTATGCAACTCAGAGTGTCATTTATTTTAAGGGAACACGCTGTTGTCGAGTCACGCCCTGCTATATTCCCCAAGGCTACGCAGTTTTGGTTCAAGTGATAACAAGCCCAGTAGAGACTACTCGTCTCCTCCTAGTTTAAATGCAGATGCTATGTCTTTCTGGTATTGTTTGTTGGAGCCTGCACCACAAAGACATTTCTGCTTGATTATTATGTGTTAGGGTTTATTCAATAGTTTGATTATACTCCTTGCCTTTTTTATTGTATTTCCACTTTGCAGGAGCCAAAATGAAGAAGATATGACTAATGTTCAGTTTGAGGGAACTAAATGTCTCTCAGAATTGTGACTACGTAAATAAATTATCTAAAAAATATGTATTAGCTAAGCTATAAAATATGAATTCAGCTAAACTAACTTAGGTAACCTTTTCCACTGTTTTAAGTTGCTGCTTAAAGTTTTTTTTTTTTATTCCTTTTCTTTTTCAGGGGGATTTATCAGTCAGTAATTCTTTTTAAAAGTGATTTTCAGTCATTAAGAACAGGATTGAATTAGAGGGTGTGCTGATACAACTTTTTCATTTCTGATACAATACTAATATTGCAGCTATTATTATTGATAAATACATTGATAAATTGACCTGATATCAGCATAAATTATCCATGCTTGCATTACCCATTTGCACTGTGGAATTTAGAAAAAGGCTTGATCAAGTGACATTGCTTAAATGGAGAAACAACAATACAATAGTAATTAATCAGTTGGTATTAATATTAATACCAATCAGTTGGTTACATAAACTTTTAACAGAAGCAGAGTGTTTCTATCAGTTTGCATACAGTATATTAGAAATTTCAGATGCTGATAATCCAATATTCTTTTCTTTGCTAATATTGGATGGATTTATGAATATTGGATGGAGGTGCATCCCTCAAGGAAATATAATTGACATATACTGTAATGAGTGAAACAAGGGTAAGCAAGGGCAAAAGGCACAGAAATATGTAGCTAAAAAGGGTGTGGTTGGTTTAAAAGCTTTAGACGATAGTTTTATGATAACAGTTTTTTGATTGACATAGAAGTAAAGTAGAAGGACAAGAATGTATTGTCAGATGCACTCTTAGTTTATACACATTGTGTGGTGGGAAACTTACTACACATTGATATTAAAGCATTTTCCTCACTGTCTGTGGTGGTAGCAGTATAATGCTGTGATATTTTCTTTAGCATAGGGAGGGAAGTTGGTCCATGTACCCCGGAAGATGGTTAGAAGGTAAGAGAGGCATTAGCATTAGGAGGAGAATCACCTTCTAGAGGGACAGATATTCTAAAAACACAGCAAGAGGTAGAATAGAATGCTTTAAGTCAAAGCATATTTACAGTATGTGTTAACACCTGTCTCTGCTGACGCAAGCCCAGAGGTCAAGTAACTGAACGCAAAAATTTAAATCAGTTTCTAATTTTACTTGCCATAATTTTGCTTGCACTTGGAAATTATATTACTCTGTTTATTAAGGTATTGGAAGAAGCCTTGCTATGTAAATGACATATAATCTTAGGCCCTTATCTTTAGAAGGTTTGCATGTCTTAAAATAAAGCAAACTTAAGCACTACAAGCACAGCAGCCACAAGACGGTTTTTACAATCTTCGATCACATCAAGCAAAGTGTACAGATACTTCTAAAACATATCGCTGGTCTCTATGTACAATAGCAGATGAAAGTCACAGAGTACCTTTGCATTATTTGCCCTGATAAGTTGGGGAGAAAAAATGTATATTTTAAGATGTTTTTAGTGAGAAAGTGCACCTCAAAATGCCCTCCTTATAATCAGTTAATCAGGTATATGATCCTACTGTTAAACATTCTGCTGTAGTTGTTCTAAACAGCAGCTTTAGCCCTGTAAACAGGGAACGTCTCACTGGGAATCCCCAGCATATCTCTCTTAAGCTGGCCAATCACTCCATGATTACTTTAGCTTGGACAGTGAGACTGAATTACAGACAGTTTAATTCAGTGTAATTCAGTCTGGTAAACGACCGCTGACCAATCATAGTGCAGGAGGTGGGACTTTACGATGCATCAATCTTGGCGCCAGAATTACCCATAATACATCAGCACTTTTCTGCTTCCATAACAATAAGCTGGCATCTGCCGTGGAGCATTTGCAATGAAAATGAAGAACGTAAGAGAGCAAAGCTTAGCTAGTCTCAGATGTTTTAGGCGAAACCGACAGATCATTCACTGGAGAGTTTTTTTCGATGGCTTGACACATATTCACAGACAAAAAAATTACAAAAACAGAGCTCGTCGCTTGGAGTTTTTGTGTCATATCTCTATCTGTGTGATTAGTTCTAACCTGATGAGGCTAACCCTGCCAGTCCTGCCTTTGAAATCAACCCCTATCAGCACTTTACTTGGCTAATACGGCTTGTATACATTGTGTCTGCTGCAGTTTAAACAGGGAGACAGTGGTTAAAGCATTTTTTGGTGGTACAACCTGCAAGCAGCAGAAAATTAAATCTAATCAATTTTTCCAGCATGTTTTCATATTTTAAATTAAAGAGGTGTTGGAGTTTTCCAATGGTACCACCACCTGTGGCCTTCTGACCCAATATAAATTCGGAAAAATAGGCTACAGGCTTATAGAAGCATCAGTGCTGAACGTCTGAGGTGTCAGTCTGCTCATCATTTTAATCGTAAAGGGTCAAATAAAAAGGCTAATTTAAATATATTTTTGGGTAAAAACATACATAATATCTCTTTTATGTTGGTTTCAATTATTCTGTAGGAGTGATAATTGGGTGGATGCATCAACTGTCACCTAGCCAGTTCCCAGATCAGTTCATTTTGTCAAGATGCAAAAAGTCAGATTTTGTAACTCTAGCATGTGATTTGCAATTGCTTGATTTCAGGGACACTACATACAGGAGAATATTGGGATAAGACGATGCAGAATGTGAAATTTTCCAGATTTAGGTTTGGAGGGGTTGCAACGTTTTATCAAGTAGCCCGGATCATAGGCCATGAGTGGGTTTTAATTTTTCCAGGTTGTTTATTTGACAGTAAAAGCCGAAGTTGAGTTCATGTGTCGGCCGATGAGTCCACTTTTGCAT